GTCTTTACCCTTCGTTCCCTCCTCTACATTCCTATCCTCCTCTGTTTTCTTGTCCTCCTCTACCTTTTTATCTTCCTCCGTTTTCTTTCCCTCCTCCACCCTCTTATCCTCCTCCATTTTCACCTCCTCCTATTCTATACCTCTTCCTTCTATAACTTGCCTCTTTTCTTCCTTCCTCTGTATGTTCCCCCTCTATCTATCCTCTCTATTCTATGCCTGCGGCCCGCTCTTCCTGTCTCTACCGCTTCCCTCTCTACCACTCTCGCTAGTCTATGCCTGTCACTGCTCCCTGCCTAACCTATCTCCCGCTACCCTCCCTTCTCACCTCTGTGGCTTTCCTACTCACCCTCGCGCCTCCCCTTCTCTCTCCCGCCCTCTCTTCGATCTCCTGCACGTCCGCCCGTACCTCGTTCCTCCGCCAACGCTCTCTTTCCTACTACCAGCTACCTTTCACTCACTCGCTCAATCTCACACACTGTCGCTCGCTCGCTGCCGGAAACGGAAGTCCCGTCATTTTGCTTATATAATTATGTAATATTTTTTACTGGTTTTTGTCTTCTGGTCAAAAAATTTCTGTATTTCAATTTACATTGTCGTTTATAAAGATTTTTGGTATTAATTTACGACTAAACGATCTGTCTATGTTCTTTATGATATGATCTATTTTTTTTGTAAATCTTGCCAATTATAATGTCACTGTTTTTATCAAGATTTTATTTATCTTGAATTTGTCATTCTTATTTTTAAATTAACACTGAAATTACGACGTTTAAAATATACTAATATTTCTATAAAAAATGTGTATACATATGTATATGTTTGTTAAACTAATATAACATACTACATGAACATAATTGAATACATACTATGTATTCAATTATGTTCATGTAGTATGTTCATGTAATAAGTAAAATAATGTTATGTATAATTTACATTATTAATTTAATTTAATGTAGAATTATTTCGATTTATTATAATTATATAAACATTTTCAGTTGTACGGATGTTATATTAATTTATTAAAAATGGAAATAATCAGAAAACGTAAAAAAAAGATATCACGTGTGTGTCGAAGCGACATTTAAGGAAATTAGCTGCAGAAAAGTCTGCAATTATTTCTGATATTCTGGTACCTCGTGAAGATTCGTTATGTGATAATTCAAACAATAACTGTACTATGAATTTCAACAATGATTGTATGGTGAATAGTACAATAAAAGACATTGAATGTAATATAAAATATAATGAGAATAATGAAATATTTATACAACGTGATAATGGTGATACATCGAAGGATGAATACAATACGTCAGATACACAACAATCTTCTGTTAATATTTCATATAATGAATGTACAGATATAGCTTTTGAAAGTAAAAGTTGCGACGATTATTCTCTTCTCTTCTTAATTTCTTCTCCGCCCTCCCGTGATACGTGGACGGACGGGTGTTGCCGTCCCGCTCTCGCTGTCGCGCGCGGGTCTAAAGGCTGGTTTATGATGGCCGTAACTGTTAACTTATGCCAGAACCGGTAAAGTTCGATACTGGGATTTTAATGCTTTCGTTCATAATGGGTTTCCGGATGTTGGTGACTTATGCCTTAACTTTAAAGAAACTCAACTTTTAAGGCTGGTTATGATGGCCGTAACTGTTAATTTATGCCGAAACCGGTACAGTTTATATTGTGATTTCAATGCTTCATAATAAGTTCTAGGATCCAGATGACTTATGCCGTAATTGTAAAAGTTAACTCAAATTTAACTTTAAGGTAATACGGCAAGAGATTTTGAAAAGCCTTGTGTCTACAATGCTAGAGCTTGGTCCAAGTTCTCAGATTGTAGACAAGTTCTAGTATTGTAGAAAATTCACTATTATTTTATAAGCGAAGAATTGCAAATACCAGGTGAGTACATATATTATGATATAATACAAGAATATAACATAATAAAAAATATACATAAATAACAATGCTTTTACTTGCTGCGACATATCTAGCACGAAAAAATTTTTAAATCTTGATTACAGATATTTAGTGAAAATAGCTCTTGTTAGATAACAAATAAAACTCCCATTGTATAAACACATCTATATTATAAGAGCCTACAACACCGAATACATGAAATAAACAAGTCAAAAAAAAATAACCTTTAAGCGTTGATAATCAGGTTAATGCCGTAGATACATATATTTTAATGTTTTGTTACAAGAATACTGTAAATGTAGAAGATGAGTCCTTAAAATATGTTTGTAACTCCTTGTATAGTATGGAGATTTGAAAATTTCCAATAAAAGATTTAATATCTTGCAAAATTGAAAAATACTAATACTTGTGCATTTAAAATATTATTTTGTACAGGAAGCAATAGATGCTAATAAAATGGATTCAGATGAAGCAATTGTGTGTGCAATGTTTGCAACAATACTTGGTTTAGCTTATTATGCTGCAAACGCAGCACCAAAGATATCTAGAAGAAAACGTCGTTGGGGTGTACGTCCAATAAATAGGAAGAGAATAACCAAAGGTCACTTTCATAATTTATTTTATGATATGAAAAAAGTTGACAAAGAACACTTTTTAAAATACACAAGAATGTCACCCGAATGTTTCTACTTTTTACTGAATCTTATTGAACATAAATTAGTGAAACGCAGCATGCGACAAACGATAAGTCCTGAACACAGACTTGTTATTACATTATTGTAAGTATACAAATATTATAAATTATAATAGATTATTATTGTTTTATATATAATAAAGTAAAGAATAGTAACTTACTGTCAAAAACAATAACATTTATAATATTAGACATAAATTATTATTTCAGTTATCTGGCACAAGGCTACAATATGCAGGTAGTAGCATGGTCGTTTTTGATAGGAAAAACAACAGTGTCTGTAATCGTACGTGAAACTTGTGCAGCCATTTGGGAAGTTCTTTCTCCAATTTATTTGAAAACGCCAACAACTGAAGATTTACTAAACAAGAGTAAAAGATTTTATGAACAGTGGAACCTTCCTAACTGTTGTGGTGCTATAGATGGGAAACATATAGTTATTCAGGCTCCGAATAAATCTGGAAGTGCCTATTTTAATTATAAAAAAACTTTTAGCATTATATTAATGGCTGTTTGTGACGCTGATTACATATTTACATTTGTGGACATTGGAGCATTTGGTTCACAAAGTGATGGAGGTGTTTTTAAAGAGTCAACCTTTGGACAAGCACTGGAATCTGGTACAATAAAGTTACCAGCAGACTCGCCATTGCCAAATACAAATAGTATGTTTCCATATTATTTTGTAGGAGATGAAGCTTTTCCGTTAAAATCTTATATTCTGAGACCCTATCCTGGAAAGAATTTAGATGTTCAGAAAAGAATTTTTAATTATCGGTTGTCAAGAGCACGGCGAACAATAGAAAATGCATTTGGCATTCTATCATCAAGGTGGCGAATATTGCGAAATAATATTATAGCTAATGTGGAAACTGTAGAGAAAATTGTTGCAGCAACAGTGTGTCTACACAACTTTTTACGTATTTTTGAACAAGAAGTTCCTGCGCACGAAAGAGTGTATTGTCCTTCATCTTTTATCGACAATGTTCATTCTGATGGAAGCATTACACCAGGCTTGTTTAGAAATGATCGTCCTAATAGTTTTCAAAGAATTGGGCGTTTAGGATCAAATAATGCTTCCAGAAATATGATTGAACTTCGGGATAAAATGACAAACTATCTTGCCAATGAAGGAGCGGTTCCTTGGCAGTGGAATCACATTCTTAGAGGATATAATCCAGAATAATTATTCGTAATTTAATCCCTAGGTTCAATCATATTTCTGAAAATATTTGATCCTGTTAGAATATTTGTTTAAAGTTAGTTGTACTTTTTATGTTAATACTTTCAAGATAACGTTATATTTGTTATTACTAAAACAAAACTATTTTTTCAGAAAGTTTCAAGCGATACTTTATTTAAGCATATTTTGTATACCTGTACAAGTGTACACACACACACACACACACACACACACACACACACACACACACACACACACACACACACACACACACACGCGCGCGCGCGCGCGCACGCACGCACGCACGCACGCACGCACGCGCACACACACACACAGCTCAACAATTACTTTATATAAAAATTAACTGTGTACAAAGTATTATTATCATTACAAACCATTTTTATTTATTTCTTATAATTTTATCCATTTTATATATATGGATTATTATATATATTATATATATCATATGTCAATTATTTTATACTATAATATAATCTTATCAAATCAAAACTCATAAACTTATTATTATATTATACTTATACGTATTTTCTGTAGTGTTATCTGCAACTATAAAACTTACAATTAGTATAAAAACAGTTTTAACTTGTATACTTGGAAATTATTTGCATAATCTCAATTTTACAAGTTATTAAATCTTTTTTAGTGAGATTTTTTAAATCTCCATACAAGGAGTCACAAAAATATTTTAAAGATTCATCTTCTGCATTAACGGTATTCTTTCGAGTAACAAAATTTTTAAATATATCTACGGCATTACTTAATTGTTCATCAATATCAGAAGGTTGTTTTCTTTTTTGATTTGTAAGTTTTTTTGGTGTACATGTGCTCGGTGTTATGGGTCTCTCTGGTGTAGATATGTTCGGCATTATGGGGTTTTCTGGTGTAGGTGTTGCACGCTGTCCTAATATGGATCTATCGGGTGTTGTGGGCACTGTTTGTTGTGTAACATGCGCTAACGCATTGTCACCTGAAATGTCTGACAAAGATTGCATAGATTCCTCTGTGCTAAATAAGTTGGGGCAAGTACCTGCAAATGTTCAAAACACATAGTTATCAATAAAAAGTATTGTTTTTAAACAATTTTTATCATCATGTGCATTAAAATTTAACATTAGAAACTGTAAAAAG